TAAGAGGGAAAAGCATTTATCTAGAACCGAGATAGAATTTCATATTATGACTCAGTATCGTCGAAACTAATAAAAGCATATTGTAAAAATCTCTCGACTAGGTTGCATGGTCTTTTTGAGAGGATGAAAAACTAAGACACAAAAACATGTTTCTTTTTCGAAAATCTAAAAAAGTCAAGCTTATTTTGTACGCTAGAGGTTTCTAAAGAAAATTCTTCAATAAAGCTATGGAATAATGTTTAAAAAGCTCTGCAAAACAATCTATTTCGATTTTTCCATATCTAGACATGAAAACACATAGACAAAAATAAAGTCTATTTTATGCATGAAAGCTCTTCGTAATTCATGATCGCAATATGACTAGAATTTTTTTGCTTTTATCTCTATAACCTAAATGTTCATGTGGCTTTGTAAATTATTGAACGTTGACTCTTTTGAAAATATGAAGAACCTCATTTATTGTGCCGTACTCTATAACATTCGATCTATGAATGGATGATCTACTCAAACATCTTTCGTGAATCACCTATTTAAATGACGGTCAGAGTTGTTTATTTAATCTCAACCAGTTTAACTAATTTGTAACTATGTTGTAGAAGCAACAGGAAATAGAGTCCTGTGGATACCAATAAGAAAAAAAAACATTTATTGAGCTCGAATATGAAGTTAAACCCTTTCCTGTGTGCCAGAAATACTTTACTACATACTTCAACTAGAATTTAAAAAACATATAGGAGAACAACTGTACGCATTTAGAGTATAACTACGCTTGAAGCAAATAAATCTCTTTCATTTCTACAATAATCTGGAATATATTTCTATAGCAGCTATTAGCATTATTTAAATATCAAATTTTACTCTTTTGTTTACAACTCAACATTTATATGAGCTATAGTGATCCGGTTTCCGCCTTATTGTAGTCCATAGTATAATTAAAGCAAACATAGAAAACATTCCCTATTCTTGGTGAGAAGAGTTGGAATTTTTTTATTAATCAGGGATGTAAATGCACCATCCTTTGTTTCTTCAAACCCTAAACATTTAATCTACCTAGAATAAATTCAAATCAGACGAATATTATTCATTCCGTTACGATTAATTTACTTAACTTAACACTGAAGGACGAAGGACTGTCATCTGAATTTGAATGAAGAGGTTACTTGACACATCATCATTGCCGATTATATACATTCTGTGGTTTGTTTTTGTAGACATAAAATGTTGATGACTGCGTTGATTGAATATAGCAGAGTTGGAATCAGTAACGAAAAGTCATACGAAATCGAATCAGCCAGTAGAGTCCTGCAAAACCTCGATTTTTCATTTAGAAGGAGCATATTATGCTATAATAAAATTTTCACAAACTTAGATATTGACTCTAACCTGACATAAATTTTTATTCGCTAGATATAATTAAAGAGATAAAACGACATGCATTGCTTTTTTTGTATAAGAATATATATTTTGCATGTTTGTGATCGATTCATCGAAAAACAATTATTATGCAAGAACTTTTTGATGGAGCTTGTTCGTTTAGCTGGAAATTAAGACAATATGTATTATTCGTATTGTAAATATGAACAAAGTAATGAATTAAGAAAGTCAGAACTATCTCGAAAGTATTTAATAAATTGTAGAACATTATTAAATAAGCATACTTGAGCCTGCAACTGAATCATCGGCTAGGAATGTTTCTTCATGAGTGCATCTTTATTCTTATTCTTACACTTAAATTTGTTATTGCTTTTTGTAGATCTATTAGGCCAGCGTTTGCGTCATGCACATCACCATACGTGTCAACTTGTAAAAGGTAAGCTATCAACAACTGATTTATTATTTCTTTTTCTAGTTTAAAAATGATACTTTAAAACGAGAGAACATGTCTAGATGTTGTTTGACTAATTTCAATTATTTAGAACTCATTTTTAGATAAGAATTGGCTCTATCCTCAATACCGTGACAACGAACGTACAAAAATAAAAAAGCCTGATGAACTCGAACAACAGATGAAAGATCCACCTAAAAATATGGACAAATCAATACTAGATCGTATTCAAGGTTCAATGGTGGGCATGGCTTTAGGTGATGCTCTCGGTGCCCATGTTGAATTCAAACCTCCTGAGTATTTATTTGTAAATCCAGTGACAGACCTTCATGGAGGAGGCACTTGGAATCTCAACAAAGGACAGGTAGATATATTTATCAGAGAGAAATGAATGAAGATCTATTCCGTAGTTGAACATATCTTCTAAATGCAGTACTCTCCAATGATCATAAAATAGTATAAATAACAATTTTTACTTATTCGATTCTGCTTTCAACAATAAAGAGGAAGTAGAAAAAAAAATGATAAATTCAAAAATAACTCATGTTAAGCAATTTTTGATTAAAGTAGATTCGACTTTTGAAAATAATGTATTGAACAAATGATATGTATATATTGAAGTCTTAACATGAGTGTTTCGAAGAAGTGTCGATTTAAATAGCATTAACTATTTTAAGTTTTGTAAATGAAGTTGATTTAGAAAAATACTTCTCGATAAATGATTTAATTCTACAGTTCACTGACGATACTTCAATGGCTCTCTGTCTAGCATGTTCATTGATAGCTCGTCGTGGCTTTGTTCTTTACGATCAGTTGGTTCGTTATAAATGGTGGTACAAAAATGGTTATATGTCATCAACTGGAAAATGTTTTGATATAGGTATGGCTACTTGCGATTCTTTGTTAGAATTTCAACGACGTCAGAAAGATTTTGCTGAAAAATATAAGATCCCTTTGGAACAGCTGGATTTTCTTTCTGATTTTGATCTTCTGAAAAAATTTAATGTGTATTGTAGTGATAGTGGCGTAGCTGGTAATGGAGCTCTTATGCGATTAGCACCGGTACCGCTTTTCTTTTATCGACAACCGACAGCAGCTGTTGAATTTTCCGGCTGCAGTGGTCAAATCACACATGGTGATCAAAAGGCTTATGATGCGTGTCGATATTATGGTGCTCTTATCGTAGCTGCTCTTCAAGGTGAATCGAAAGAAAATCTATTAAGTGAAAAATTTTATCAAACCCACATATCATGGTTCGCTAATCGACAGCTTCATGAAGACATTCGAACGATTTCTGAAGGATCTTTCAAGAGACGTGGTGGTTTAAGGGATGGAATTCGAGGAACAGGCTATGTTGTGAATGCTCTTGAAGCTGCTCTGTGGGCATTTTGGTCAGATGAAAATTCGTTCGAAAAAGGTGCACTTTCTGCTGTCAATCTAGGCGATGATACGGACACAACGGCTGCTATATATGGTCAGTTAGCTGGTGCTTACTATACCTACACGAATTTACCCCCAA